AAATCCAAAGCCGGGGCACTACAAGACGTTCTAAAAGCTTTCCTAACGATGGTAACAATGTGATTGGTCGGTAGGATTTAGGATCATCCGGTGGCTTGTCGCCACTTTTTGGTATTATACGAATATTACCGCACCGCCATATACGAGGAAATATTCCTTCAGCAATGCAACGTTTAAAGACAGTGAAAATCAGTGAAAAGATGTGGATCTCAATGGGAAATCCCAATAGATGGCCTGCGGTCCGTTGGGGTACCAAGGATTTGCAAAACATAAACATTGAGCAAATAAACAGTTTGTGCTAATGGGCAAACACTGTTTAGACGGGGTGAATGGAGCAGAGGCATGACTTCGTGACGGACATCATCACCATGGATTCTCTCGGCACCATAATTGATTTCATGGTACTGAGAGAGAGCCTACTGAGAGATGTTTAAAAACAACAGGTCTTGGAGATCAACGGATCTCCAAGACCTGTTGTTTTTAAAATTGACAGAATTGGGTGATTATTAAGTCTCATTAATTTCCTATCATTCAAAGTTGAGATCGAACTTTGATATTGTTAATTCTTTAGTTTCATATTTATTTAGTTTCACAATTAATAAATCATTTTGAACACGACGACTGTAACAACATTTTCAACCTATTTTCTAATGTTCCCCTCATCCCGTCTCATCATCTTCGTCATCATATTTTATGGTAAGCTCTATGACTAACATTGCCAATGGCTTTAGCTGGTATATTTTCTAGCTGGCTATCTGCCTGAAGCCAACCCAACTCTTCCTCAAATTTTAATCTTTTTGATCCTCATAGATATGACATTTATTTCTGCGAGGAAATCTTTTCAGATATTTTTACAAGTCGGACTTTACAGCTAGATGGGGCCGGCATTTCCTAAGATTCACTCTGGGAAGAAACGCCGAAACACACCACTGAGGTGTCTTGTTTTTAGTCCATAAACAAAGTTACGGTCTAGGTAGGCCTTTTAAAAAAGGACCATAGTTTCGAGTCAGCCTGTCCATACAGACAGCATACGAGCCATCGTGTAGCCTAACCGATATTAGTCAAGATCAACGACCCGAAGCGCGACACTACCGCAAGCAGGACATTCGAGTAGGCCGAGGAAACACTCAAAATCACCAGAAAGTTACTAAATATGAACTAACATTACAAGCCTACACTACACAGCCTATACTCACATTTACATACTTACAAAAAATATACCATACAATTCAAGTTTAATGAAAAAAAAATTGGTTGCCTGTAAAGTCGGTATACGGGCGAAAGTTTTACGTGACAACGACTATGTCTGTCTCTCTCGCTCTTAGGCGGGCTAACCATGCCCGATTGGAAGAGACGCGTGCCTCTCACTCGCTCTCATTGTGAGCGCATAACGTGAGCGGAGCGTAACGCTGTTTCTTGAAGTGTCACCCGGCAAACCAATTTATAAGACGTTGTCACGTCAAAATAAAAATTGAAAACAAATGAAATAGTAGATACAATACAATAAATGTACATCATTTTTAAACATAACAACAATGATAGGAAATGATAGTAACTGCGGGAGTGAGCAGCATCAATCCCAAGCAAATTAGTCATCTAAATAATGTGTTACAGTGCGGTAAGCCTTCTCACATAGTTTTTGTTTTACTAAAGACTTAAATTTGTTGATACGTCATGAAATTTGCTTGGAATTTTATTGTACAATCGCTCACCCTGACACCGAAAGACTTGCTCAATAAATTAACCAAGCTCAATCGCCGTCAATAGGCAGCTAATACTGGAATCGTTTTTTTTACTTGCTTTGTTTACTCAATAACATAAATCTTTGTGGCGTGGTTTCGATATTCTTTTTTAAGGTTTAAGGTACTTCAAAAGCTAGTTCTACAGTCCCATGAAGACGTGAAAAAATCAAAGTTGATGAATATGTAGCTACAAATTTGTACGAAACACTCGGTGGGTGAGTCCGACTTGCACTTGTCCTGATTTTTTACTTTTTCGGCCTTATCCCATCTCTGTCAAGGTCGGCAACTTCACAGATATATTTTTAGGTTTTCGAAATGATAGCAAATATATATATATATATGTATATATATATATATAACGGGGGTGGGGAGTGGTTTCGAATTCGCCCGCAGGCAATTTAGGCGCCAGAGGTCGCTGCATGGCTTTCGTTCTACATAAAAGCAGGCCTAGAGTAACAGTTGAGACAATCTGTCACCCTACCAGAGGCAGGAAAGGGATACTGTGGTCCCCACATACGAGAGGGCCATCTGTAAGCCTTAAATGGCCGGAGTCCGATGGAGTATCAAGAATTTCCTTTCTAAGTTACACTTGGTTCCTCGACTTAACTGTTTTAAACAGATATTTCTTTAATAAAAAAAATGAAAAACTCGATAAATATTGACTGTAGAGAAACAAGACTGGTCTCATTTTATTCCTCATCAAATTGTCTGAAAATTATACGCATCACGTCTCGGTCTCGGATTCGTTTTTATCGCGTTATAAAATGAAAAAAGCGAAATGCAGGTAAACGGATTACTTTCTCTTCATTCACTACCTGTAGCGCGAGAGAGATAGCGACTAACGCTCGTTCCAATAACACAAGATTGAATAGCAAAATCAAGATACAATATCGTTTTGATCACAAGTCTGCCACTAGTGACGAGTGAGTGATGAATTTACCAAATTTATTATTCATACAACTTGAAAAGTTTACTTACTGGGTTTTGTAACATCTGATTGAGTCTTTCTTGAATAGTCATCGATTTTTTCGGGCGTATAAGCAGGTACAGTTTTTCTATGGCGCATGACCTGCAACAAATATGTACATACATATGTATGTATAACATAGAACCAATGTCTGGGTTGTTTTTAAATAAAGTGACGTCAGCAAATCTGACGTCATTCTTTGCATTGTCGTGGTTTTCCTTTATAAAAGCTGTAGTAAATAACAACAACAGTAAATACAATTAAAGATGCATTCCAAGGTCTTACCAACAGTCGTACATAGATCCGTACAGTAGTGAATATAGACAACAGTAAATACAGTTAGAGTTGTAATTCAAAATGTTTAATTTTTCGTGACTCTAGGGCATAAATCAGGCTGAAAGGCTTTTAAATTGTTCGCATAGACTTGCGATTTAAAATACACCACAAGAAAACAGTAAAATCCAGGCCAGTTCACATCACCTCAACGTGAGATAATCACACTCTTAAATCGTAAAATTTCCGATGTGGAATGAGCTACCAATATGTGACGTAACACCGTCTTGTTTGAACACACTATGATCCACACTGGTTCTTCTGCATATCAATAAACATGCATTGTAAACTAGTAGCATCCATTGCTATGCAGATGATAGCAATTGAGATGCCCTTTACACCGCCCGCCCCACTATTTTTCGGGAAAACGTCATCGAGAGTCGAAACAAAATTGTGTCCGAAATTGAAATTTCCTTACCGGAGGTTTCATATTGGGGCCGACTAAATCTAGTCCAGTTAAACCCAAAACTACAAAGGTCTGTGCGTCTGTGCGTCTAACTGCCTTAGTCAGCATCGGAATCCTAGGCATCGACATATCGATCAAAATCCAATTTCGGGGTCACTTAGAGGGTAAGGTCAAATTAGCTCCAAAGAAGCTAGGTGTGCTGAACAGATCGAGGCAGTATTTCACTCCGGCCCACCGCTTTCAGCTCTATAAGGCGCAAGTCCGGACGCATATGGGATACTGTTCTCATCTCAATGCAGGGACACCACAGTACCAGCTTCTCCCTCCGGACCGCATCCAAAAAAGAGCGACTCGAATCGTCGATAGTCCAAACATCTCTGATCAGCTCGATCCCTTGGCGTTACGTAGAGATGTGGCTCCACTCTGCATTCTCTATCGCATATATTATGGAGAGTGTTCCGAGGAATTGTTCGGACTAATACCAGCCGCAGCTTTCCGCCATCATTCCACACGGCAAAATTTTCATCCTCAATTTTCTCCTGGATAGTTGGCGCTCCACTACTGTACGCTTTTCGAGACACTTTTTGCCACGTACAACCAATCTGTGGAACGGGTTATCGTCCGCGGGATTTCCGGACCGATACCACCTTCAAACATTCAAGAAAAGAGTGTACTCCTACCTAAAAGGCCGGCAACGCGTTTGTGACTCCTTAGTTGCAGACGTTATGGGCAGGGATGGTCACTTTCCATCAGGTGACCCGTCTGCTCGTCTGCCCCCTCTATCATAAAAAAAAACTTGAATTTTAGACTGGTAACATCGCTAAAAGAGCATACCTGAACAGTTTCTCAATTAGTTGTTTCCCAATGAAGCCGGACCCACCAGTTACGAATACCGTAGCGCCTTCGTAAAACAGCTGCACAGGTGAATCGCCAATATCTATTACGTCGTTCATTGGTTTCTGACGAGCCAGGGCAGATAATTCAATTTCTTGTGCAGGATCCATTTTGTTGTCTTTCACGTAGTGCTGTAAACCACCGACTGAGAGCTTCCAATACCAGTTTATGTTATAAAACAATAAAACCTTCTGTAAAATTTTAACTTGATTAACTTATTACAATCAAATTGAATATGTATTTTGAAAGTCCTGCATTTGGTGAGGTGTAATTTGACTAAGCAAATGTTACCAGTTATTGGTCAGTTTTATTGCTATGTTTTGTAGTAAATTTAATTTTCATTACTATTATTTCTGTTTATGTATTTCGTGTTGGTAAACATATACGTAAAGTATTTACCGGTCCATACTAATATTATAAATGCGACAGTGGTCTGTCTATCCGTCTGTTACCTCTTCACGCTGAAACCGCTGAACCGATTTAGATCAAGTTTGGTATAAAGATAATTTGAGTCCCAAAAAGGACATAACATAGTTTTTATCCCAGAAATCATCATTTAAGGAAATGAAAAGGGGTGGAAATTTTTAAGTGGAATTAATAACCGCTGAACTGATTCAGTTGAAATTTGGTGTGTTGATAGTTTGAATTTCGATAAAGGTCATAGGTTACTTTTTAATACGATAACCGACATACACGCGGGCGGAGTCGAGAGCAACAGATAGTTAACAATACACTTATCACTCATCCCACTCCAGTTCACTTTTACAATTCGCTCCGAAAGTAGATTATTTGAATTCAAATTGCAAATTCAAGTGAGCTCCCAGTTCTACAGGAGCTTTTCGATTACCTGGAGAGTAAGTTTACGAGTCTAGAAACCTCTCGTAGAAAGACAGAGTCAGCGACACCCAGACCCACCAATTCGTTCTTCCGCGAAGTTTTAGAAAACCAAAATGTTTTGTCAAATATTTAGCAAACATCCAGTGAGTTGGAAATAAATTCGGCTAGTTTCAGTGAATCTGACCTGTATCAATTTTAATTAGAGTTATTTTATCAAACTTGAGATGAGAATAATTTGAACGATGAAAAAGATCTTTGTCATTGCCGATTTTTTTACTGTCTATTATTGATTTGTATATTATTAAAGTTATAAATATTAATGAAAGGCATGATGACGTCACGTAAGCTTAAGCATATGCAGACGTTTTCTTTTGTACTTGGATGAACTTTAGGTGTTAACCGACAGACAATGGAGCAAGCATTTGCATAGTTAATTTTGTGTTATTCATACTCATATTGTACAGAAAATAACTTTACCTAGTTTTATTTTCCAGTAATTTAGTCGATAGAAGTTTCTGGGCCTGTTGGCATGGTAGCCACAGGTCGTCGTTCAATTCCCACTCGGGACAAATAAATTATGTGGTAAGAACGTTCGTTTGTTCTGTATCTGTGTGTAAGTTGTCTATATTTACATATATGTTTAAGAATGTATAAGTATTTTTATCAGTAGTCTGTGTAGGCTCTGCGTAGTTTGGCGGCAGACGACCTTGTGTGAGGTGTCTGAGGTTATTATTATTCTGTTTTAAATAATTAATTTCTACAAAACTAGTAGAGAGCTCGCTTTTTTGACAGACACATTAATACTTTAAAATAGTATGCTTAGATTATATACAGACTGTTAGGAAAGTACCTGAACAGCAGAATAATTTGCTAAGGATGCTTTTTTCGGAAATACGTTAAACATAATCCAAGGTCTCCGATGAATAGCCAGGAAAAAATCCTAAATCTTGTAGCTTTGTGTCTCTTGGCTGAAGAGAATAATGAATTTCGTATGGTTTAGTAAGTTTGATCTTGGATTGGCGACCTTTTCGGCAGTATAATTTTTTTTTCAGTTTCAAAAAAGACAACTCCGCATTAGGACTATATCCTGTGTAGCGGGGAACTTTACAAACATACATGATAAGGACACAAGGAACACCCAGACTCAGAATATCAATTTATGGATCAAACAAAGTGTTGTACCATGTGGGTAGCAACCCACAACACTCGGCGCAGTAGGAAGCGGCGAGGCGATCGCTTAAACCACTACGCCATCCGTGCAGTCAAGCATTGTACAGTAAACAACTTAAAAAATATATTTGAATGGCTCATTGAACCTAAATTTTATACCGTTCATTAAAAAAAAAAAAATAGTTATACATTAATTTAATCAATATTGTAAACAATACCTACTTGAAAAATTTCCATGCTCTTCTTCCATTCTGAAATATATTGCTTATATTTCACTGTAAAACCTATTATACTATGTTATATGGCGAATAAATAAATGATGATTAATGATATTACCTAACTAATTCATCAAAGCAGAGTCTTAACCACTGTGTCTAGAAACTTGAAAATTTTGACAATTGATGATTTTTATGTTGTAATCACCCAGCAAGAAAGGAATTTTGGAAATTTCCTCCCTAAATCCATACTCATATTATAAAAATTATTGTTTTTTACCCTTTCAAGCCAAAATCACTAAACCGATTTAACAAAATATTTTACCGATGGAAAGCTACTCGTACATTTTCAGCGAGTAAAAGAGGTTATTTTTTATCGCGCCAATGTACACACGGGGGAAGCCACAGGCGAGAGCTAGTAAGGAATAAACTGTTATATGAAAGTTCGTCATTTTTCAAAGTTAGAAACACGTAAATAGAAATATACACGTGAGCAAAGCTCCAGCAATAGCTAGCTATTATTATAATAGGCTAGTTGACTCAATTTGAAAACTTAGTAAATTATATACTTTAATATCTATTTTATCACAAAAATCCTATATTTTAAAGAAAAAGCAATATCTACATTACGTACTTTGTATTTAAAAAAAAAACAATTTAAATTTCCCTTGAAAACGCTGAATAGTGTCATGTCTTAAAGGTTACACTAGGTCTCCAGGATCCACCGACAGCTTGGTCCGAAGCTGGTGGACACTGCCTCCGCCCTAGGGCGACTTTTGCCCAATTTGGGCGGGGCCAGTGTTCCCACGAGGCGGCTGTACGCGGGGGTTGTCCGGTCCATGGCGCTTTATGGTCCGAATAGGGCGCGCCTCTGGCGCCCCCAGAGGATATTGACGGTCAGAGCCATACGCGGATACCGCACGGTGTCCACCGAGGCGGCTTGCGCCTTGGCCGGAACACCCCCGTGGGATTTGGAGGCGGAAGTGCTCGCCGAAGTTTATCGGCGAGTGGCTGACTTCCGGGCGGAGAGCGGATTTCGCCCTCCGCCCGAAGACGTGCGCGAATGGCGCGAAGCCGCTCGCCGAGCCACTATGGTGAGATGGTCGTTCCGGCTGGAGACTCCACGCGCTGGCTTCGCCGCCGTGGAGGCTCTCCAGCCGGTCATCGCCGAGCGGGCAGGGCGGCAGCACGGGACCCTTTCCTTCCGGCTGACGCAGGTGCTTTCCGGGCACGGTTGCTTCGGAAAGTACCTGTACTCGGTCGCTAGGAGGGAATCGAGTCCCGCCTGCCACCACTGCGACTGCGGTGAGGATTCGGCCCAGCACACGCTGGCGGTTTGCCCCGCATGGGCGACGCAGCGCCGGGCCCTCACTGCAGTCATCGGAGCAGATCTCTCGCTACCGGCCGTAATTCGCTCCATGGCCGGTAGCGACAGTTGTTTTACCGCGGTCGCAAACTTCTGCGAGGAGGTAATCTCGCAGAAGGAGGCGGCGGAGAAGGCCCGGGAGGACTACCTCCACTCGGACCTGATGAGGCGCGCTCACCTGCGCCTCATGCCGCCCTAAGTGTGGCCGCGGGTGGACGGGATGGGTTCTCCCCTCCACCCGCATTAGTTGGCCAGCCGCGAGGGGGCGGTGTCCGCGTGTGCCGGACGCCGCCTAAAGAGAGGGTCCACTGAGACGGAGCCCGCTCCAGGAGCGGGCCGGCGCTGGGAAGGGTCCAGAAGGAGATAGCTACCTGGACCCTTCCTAAACTGGAAGCGCAAAGAGGGCACACCGTGTGGTTTTAGTCGGTTCGAGTCCGACACACCGCCCCGCCGAACGAGAGCCCCGGCGGGGTGACGGTCCGAGGGGATTTCCACACGTAAAAAAAAAAAAAAAAAAAAAAGGTCTCCAGGATCCAACAGATTTCCCGCACTATCTATGATGATGATGATCTAACACGATGATGTAATAAAAAAAGAAATCCTGAAAACTTTTTTTTATATTAGAGGGAGCAGACGGGTCACCTGATGGAAAGTGACCATCGCCGCCCATGATCGTCTGCAACTCAGGAGTCACAAACGCGTTGCCGGCCTTTTAGGAAGAAGTACGCTCTTTTCTTGAAGGTTTGAAGGTCGTATCGTACTTTTTAGTGATAATAATATCTTTCCAAATTCGCAAAACTGAAGTTAACATTTTTCTATTGTCTATTGTCTAAACAATGTTAATTAACACATTTATAGAATAGGTTACTGTATTTAAAGAAAATAAAAATATATTGGTGTCATCGTGAATCAGCAACAAAAAAATTAGACGTAGTAGCAGCTTTACTGTCATCTAATACTGAGATGTTCCTATTGTATATATTACAAATAATTCTACAACAATAACTCTGATTTACTACGGGAGTAAACTACGCAGGAGAGCACTACAAAGAGAAGAACACTTGAAACAAACCCTATGCCAACCCGTCTGGCCAGCGTGGTATAGTAGGCCAAAACCTCCTTTCTAAGGAGAGGCTTATGTCTAGCAGTGGACTAGTATAGGCGGTTGATGTGAATAATGGTGACACCAGTTGGTGTTAACAGTGCGATAATACTGCTGAGTTTGAAGGAAGATTTCAAACATTCTTGAATAAACTTTGATTTTAGAAATGATTATCTCCAGAAAGGGGGATGCCAGGCCACCGTAGTGGTTTAGGCCCTGAGTGCCTATATGTGAAAATGGATGCAAATATTTCTTTGACAGATAAATAATTTATTCACAAAAGAAAAGTTAACACAAAACTTGGGGTTTCATAAATGTCAATGTTTTTTTTTTTAAATGTACTCTTACGACGCAAGTGCAATAAAGTTCTTGGAAACCCTTCCTGTATACATTTATCTAGTTAATATTGTATTTATAATC